TACTGATTGTTGTTAAAAGATGTTGAAAGAATTGCTGTAGGGAAAAATGTGAAAAAACATTGGCTAAGGGGGCAAGCTGTTTGGTGAAAACTTTAGAGACAGTTACACTTAGATTTAATCATAAGAATGTAACTTTTGTTTAAATTATTTAAGGAGAGGTTATATTTTGGATTAGATAATGATCAAAGTTTGATCAACTTAGCTTTTCACAAATTGTACTTTGGAATGTCACGTTGTTTAAGTTAAATGATGTTACTAGTTTCTATTGCTTAAGCTATACTTGGCTGTAGATAACTTTTGTCACGTTGCCCATGTCTTTGTGTCCTTCTGAAATGACTCACTCAAATGATTTTTCTCATGAAACTTCCTTGTCTTTACAATAAAAAGAGAAGGTAACTTTGAATTGCTTCTGTACCCAGTTTTTCCTTCTAACAGAGCTGAGGTGCAGTCCCTTTGGGCTTCTCATTGCATTCATGTTGCTTTGAGTAATCTTTGTGTCTCGGTTACACAGTGAGAAGTGTAACAACTACCCTTACAGCAAGGGCCAAAGGCAAAAAAATTTCCCTAAAATGGGCTTTGTTATGGCAGGCATTTAGAGTCTTGGCCAGCCCAGTATACTACCAAAACAGGATTTTGAGGGGAGCAGGACCTTTAAAACAAAACAAGAAAATCAAAGTTTCAATGATATTACCCTCCTATAGTTAGTTTCGTGTCTGAGAGAGTATTCTTCATCACATTTTATTGCTTCTTCCCCTGTGCCATCACACGTCCACCCACCATCACAACATAGTTCCTTGGAATGAACTGTGAAATTTTATCATATTTAGTGAAAGTGTACTACTCGCTTGAAAACAATTTTCCAGGAGAACAGAAAAATATGGCTCTTTATATGAAGGTATATTACTTATACAACAAACACCTGTTATGAACCTATCCCGTTTCAGGCACTGTGCTACCAGCTGAACCTAAAAACTCAAATCACAGCCCCACCCTGCAAAAAAAAGGAGTCTTTAAAAAAAAATCCCAGATATTAAGGGGAAAAAAGTTGTCTTAACATTGGTCAGATAATGGCTAACTAAACCGCTATTTTATTTTATAGCCTTTGTGTATACAATTTAAAAATACCATTACTATTAGCACTTACCTACAAAGAAAACAAGCTATCAAACTAAATGATCTATTCATGTTTTAGTCCTTGAATATTTGTAATTTGTGCATTCATGTTTGCTCTGCATTAGCCCACCAAACAGACAAGTAGTAGAAAGCAGGAGGAAAAAGCTCACATTTTACATCTTTAACCTAAAACCAGTAGTACTTCATGTTTCCAGATCAACATTATAACCTGATGAGTTGTTATCTAGCTATACAAGAACCGAGACAGCTTGGATTCACATCTTGGATCCCTTCTCCTTTGAGTAGCTGGTCAGAGACCTGATTTGAAAGTTTGATGATGATGATGACTATGATTATAATAATTAACTTACTAAGTGTTTACTACAAACCACACACTGTTCTAAACATGTATTAACTTATTTAATCTTCACAACATTTCTGTGAGGTAAGTAGTAGTAGTATCCCCATCTTACAGAAAAGTTAACGGGGGCTCAGAGAAATTAAATGGTGCCTCAACATCACACAGCTAGTAAGTGGGAAAGTTAGGATTCATACCCAAGCAATCTGGTTCCAGCAATGATGCTTTCACATCACCCTATCAACTTACCAATAAAATTGCTCTGAAAATATCCAGTGACACCTGACCAACTAAACAAATTTAAGCTTTATTTTATTTTTATAAAATAAAATATCTAAAATACACATGTGGCATACTAAGAAATATACATTTGGTCTTTGTCCCTGGTTCCTGGTACAGAGCCTATAACATCCTTGGAATTTCCAGAGTGATAAGACTGTCTTTTGTTATTCATAATGAGTCCCTTCCAATCATACCTGAGTTTATGCTACCAAGGTGGCTTAGGGTGGAGCCTCTATATAACCTCCTGATGAGTGAGGCTGGTTGCCAGAAAGACCAAACTTTGATTAGAAGCTTGGAACTTTCAGTCCCA